AAGACAGGAGACACAGCCAAGAATGTTGTGTGTCGACCCTGCAATTGGAAATTTTGGATCCCTAAAAAACTGAAGGAAATAGCAAATGGTTAGTTTTCCTGGAGGATGGGGGGGGGGCGGAGAGATAGAGAGATGGGGGGGAGAGGTGGGGGGAGGGGAGGGGAGGGGAGGGGAGGGGAGGGGAGGGGAGGGGAGGGAGGCTGTCCAGTGGTGGGGACTGGAGAGTCTGTAGGCCCAGTGATTATAGGCTGGACCTAGAGCAGTTGTGTTTGGGACAGATCTGTCAGGGGGAAGGGGACACGTACCTGATAGTGTTGGGGTCTTTGCTAGCTGCCTCCTCAAGGGGACAGATGTTGGGGGGTGATAATTATTCCCTGGGTTCCCCCTGTGAAGTCCTTGGGTGAATGTGTGAGGGAGAGAATGTGTGGGTGAGAAGGGGGAAGATGGGGAGAAGTCGGAGGGAAGGTGGGAGTGGAGCTGCCTGGGGGAGGGTGCTGGCCGCACAGAAGCTGGAGGTGGAGGGGAGCATGCATGGCCATCGGGATGTCAGCTAAGGCTGAGTTCAAGGCAGGCCAGTACGGGAGGCACCTGTGGGTCCCATGCTGAAGCCATGAAGTGCTGGATAGGAGGAATCTTGGAATTTTTCCCCAAAAATTATGGCGAAAAGATCCAGTTGTAGGACAGGGTTGTAACTCAGTGTACTGGTCTGTGGCCAGGGTTCCTCATCTGGGAGTGAAACAAGGGCCGAGTTCTGTTACAAAGGAAAATAAGGTTTTGTTTGCTTTGTTTTTTGAGAAGTGAAGATAGAATTTAGACCAGATTTTGAGAATATATCTCAGGGTGAGCCAGGGGTCATGAAGCCCATCTTGTATCCTACCAGAGGGGCAGCCTCGCCCCAAAGGTGTCTTCAGAGGGCAGCAGCCCTCCCTGCTTTCACTACTGACTTGACCGAGGTTTGCTCTAAAGCAGGGCATCCTCCGAGAACAGAGACCTCCTGACTCACGGTGTGAAACCCAGTTGGTTAGGCCAGACTGACCTCAAAGAGAGACACACAAATAACTGGCCAGAAAAAGGGGCTCACTGCCCCAAGAAAGTGAAGCATTGGTTACCCCTTGGGTCTCTTTGTTCAGAAAGTCTGGCTGGGACAGAGACATGATCTGCAGGAGTGTGTTTTTCCTGTCTGTGGTGCTGAGGCTCCAGCCAGGGCGTTGGCGTGCATTAGGCAAGTACTCTACCACGGAGCTGCATCTCCGGCCCCCAAACCTGTTTGTTTTGCTGTGTGGCAGCGCCTCCCTCACTCTCAGAAGTGCTGTGCCATTAGACGTGAGGAGAGAACCCTGCTTTTGTTTTTAAGGGGAAGTGAATGTTTCTTCCACAAAACTTTTTCATATATATGTATTTTTTGGTCAATATAAGTACATGTTGACCAGACATGATGTCACACACCTTTTAATCCCTGCAGTCAGGAAGCAGAGACAGGCGGATCTCTGTGAATTCTAGGCCAACCTGAGCTACATGGTGAGATCCTATCTCAAAAAAGAAAAAGGAGGGGGCTGGAGAGATGGCTCAGCGGTTAAGAGCACTGGCTGTTCTTCCAGAGGTCCTGAGTTCAATTCCCAGCAACCACATGGTGGCTCACAACCATCTGTAATGAGATCTGGCGCCCTCTTCTGGCCTGCAGGCGTACACGCAGACAGAACATTGTATACATAATTAATAAATAAATCTTTAAAAAAAAAAAAAAAAAAAAAAAAAAAAAAAAAAAAAAAAAAAAAAGAAAAAGGAAGGGAGGGAGGGAAGGAAGGAAAAGACTATGCTAATGGACATTGGAAAAGTTGATTTGGGGGCTGGAGAGGCAGCTCAGCGGTCAGTAGAGCACACTGCTCCTTCAGGGGACCCGGGTCCAGGACCCAGCACCCAGGTTGGGCAGCTCACAACTGCCTATCACACCAGCTCCAGAGGATCCGACTTTTTCTTCTGCCCTCTGCTGACACCAATCTTCCTAAAGCTGAAACGAAGTCAAGAAGAAAGTTTTGGTAGAGATTTTAAAGGATAGAAGGGGAGAAAAGACTGTGTTTTAATGGTCGTATAAAAAGGACTTTCTTGCCGGGCGGTGGTGGCGCACGCCTTTAATCCCAGCACTCGGGAGGCAGAGCCAGGCGGATCTCTGTGAGTTCGAGGCCAGCCTGGGCTACCAAGTGAGTTCCAGGAAAGGCGCAAAGCTACACAGAGAAACCCTGTCTCGAAAAACCAGGAAAAAAAAAATTTCCTGAGAAGAAAATGAAGAATATGAACAGGTTATTCACAAAATAAATACTAATAGCCAGAAATATTAAAAAAAAAAAACAAATAAATTCATTAATAAAACTTTTTTTTTAAGACAGGGTCTCTGCATATCCCTGGCTGTCTTAGAACTCATTCTGTAGATCACACTGGCCTCAAACTTACAGAGATCTGCCCGACTCTGCCTCCCAAGTGGGATTAAAGGCCCATGCCTGGCCTAATAAAACCATTTTTAATCTGTCCCATTAGAAGCATGAAAAGGTTGGCATGCATGTACCCTAAAGGAAGGTGGGCACCCTGGCAGGCTTGTCCATGCTTTGACTCAGAACATCTCCCCTAAGCAGACAGTGTGTCAAGTCCACAGACATACAGGTTTGAGGCTGAAGGTTTTTGTAGACACGGTCTAACAGCCAGGGGTGGAGAGAATTCTGTGTCTCGGCTCACAGGGGAGCACTCATTACCATCATCAGAGAGAGTTAAAACAGTAGATTCCGGTGGAAAAAATACAAGGTGCTAAGTGAAAAAAGCTGTGAGGAGGAAAGGCCATGAGTGAGTTTCAGCCCAACCTAGGCTACATCATGAGACCCTGTCTCAAAAAAAACACCAGGCCAGCAGCTCCATCTTGATTTACTCCTGACCACTGCCAGTCTTTGGGGCATATTTAACCGTGTGTGATGTGGTGCCCCAGGTATTCTGTAATTTGTGGGATGTGTTGACCCATACAAACCTAGGACACATGGGCCAGAGGTATGAGAATCACAAGTTTGAGGCCAGCCGAGGCTACAATTACAAAGTGAGTTCTAGGACACCTTGGGCTATATGAGACCCTCTCTCAAAACAAGCACACACACACACACACACACACACACACACACACCATAGCCAATAAAATTGGGTATTTCAGAAAAAAAAATATTTTACAAAGCAAGTTTCAAGCTGGTTGCATACCTCTGAGTAAATGTGCATAGCATGTGGTCACAAGCCTCTAAATAAAGTTGCCATGCATGCGTTTACATGGACCAAGGCAGGACTGGGGGTTGCAGCAAACTGTTAGCAGTTATAATTTTTTTTTTTTTTTTTTTTTTTGTTTTTTTGTTTTTTTGTTTTTCGAGACAGGGTTTCTCTGTGTAGCTTTGCGCCTTTCCTGGAACTCACTTGGTAGCCCAGGCTGGCCTCAAACTCACAGAGATCCACCTGGCTCTGCCTCCCGAGTGCTGGGACTAAAGGCGTGTGTCACCACTGCCCGGCAGCAGTTACAATTTTAAGCTGGGTGTGTTGGTAAACAACAACAAAAAAAATCAAAAATCCTATGAGTTAAACCTTCTATGCAAGCCTGAACACACGCACAAGCACACACACTATACACTCTCGCACAGCCTATACACACACACACAAGCACACACACTATACACTCTCGCACAGCCTATACACACACACACAAGCACACACACTATACACTCTCGCACAGCCTATACACACACACACAAGCACACACACTATTCACTCTCACCAGCCTGTACACACACTGTGGTAAGCCCTGGTAGGAAGAAGTTGAAAGAAGCCCAGCAGATGCTTGGTAAGTGGGACAGCTTGGGAGGGTTTGTGGCAGGTCACAGCAGCGCTAAGGAAACCTGCCTCACCCTGATGTGGTTTCGGAGGGGATTGGCACCTTGGGTAGCCAAGGGTAGGCCCTTCCATCTTCCTGGCAATGACAGGTCAGCCTGCTTCTGTACCATCCCCCTGGTCGGTGAACAGGACTTCCTGGAACCAGCCAGGCCTGGTGTCCCATCTCCTCCTATCTCTAGGAGACAAGATAGGTCCACAGAGCAGGAAAGATGCCCCATTCACCTGCCTCTGGCTCCTGAATTGAGGCAGTTGGTGGCCCAGCTGGTGGGCTTCACTGAGGGTAGAGGGGAGCAAGCCGCATGGCATTTGGCAGCCCCTGTAGTCTCTACCTGGTGAGGTCAGGGTTCAGAAACAGGTACCCGAGGTGTTGGTTCTTTCCTACCCCTCCCCCTCCCTTGGCCAGCAGTCATTAGAAGGAGCTTGCTCTGCTGGTGGCGGCATCCAGGTGGCTCACACTCAGTGTTGCCCTCCCTTCCTTGGCTGAGGCTGAGAAATTCTGCCAAAAACATATTATTCACTCAGCTTTATTGGGTAGAAATGTAAATGTGCTTATATGTTTGTAGTGATACAGACATGGTGTTTGATATTCTCTATTACTATTCTTATTTATTTACTTTTTTGAGGCAGGGTCAATGATGTAACAGTCTGGCTGTCCTGGAACTCACTCTGTAGACCAGGCTGGCCTCAAACTCAGACTCACCTACCTGCCTTTGCCTCCTGAGTGCTGGGATTTAAGGTGTGTGCCACCACCACCTGGTGGTAATCTTAATATGTAGTCTTGGGTAAGAACCATAGTTAGGAATATGTATATAGTGGTAATAGTTTCAAGCCAAAAATAAAAAGTAGTCAAAAGAATTTGAGATTGCCCTAGGTAGCAGGGCCTGGGGCCAGAAAACATCATCTGCTACAGCAGTGCTTGAAGCCAACTGGAGTCTTTTGTGGGGAACAGGTCAGAACATTCTAAACTTCCACACTTATGCTCATGAGAACTCAGGGGTGGTTATTCCTCACACCCAGGAGTTAGAGACCCCTGATGGTGACCCTGTCAGGGCGGGAGCCTCAGCTGATCTGCTCACTCTCTCTGCCCCTAGCTTACACGGACTTCTTCCTGCCACTGCTCAGTCGCTGCCCCTCTGCCATGGGGATAAAGAATAAGGATGGGGAGACTCCTGGGCAGATTCTGGGCTGGGGACCCCCCTGGGATTCTGCTGAAGAGGAAGAGGATGATGAGATCTCCAAGGAGCGAGAGTGGCGGCAGAAGCTGCAGGGCGAGCTGGAGGATGAGTGGCAGGAGGTCATCGGGAGGTTTGAAGGTGAGGAGCCAACTGCCGCCAACAGCTGCCCTCCCTCCCGGGCGGCGTTCCCTGAGCTCTCCCCTCCAGGCCCTCTGCATGTGTCCTCTATTTCATTCTCTTTTGTCCATCTAATCACAGCCTCTCTCCCACACCCTCTTCCTTCCTCCCAAACAGATGATGCTTCTCATGAGACGCAGGAGCCCGAGTCCTTCTCAGCCTGGTCAGATCGCCTGGCTCGAGAGCACGCCCAGAAACGGAGGCAGCAGTTGTGGGCAGAGAGATCCTGCCGACCCCCAGGGGCTGGGGGCTCCAGTCACAGCTGGCGTCAGCAAGAGGAGGAACAGCGGCTTTTCCGAGAGCGAGCCCGGGCCAAGGAGGAGGAACTGCGTGAGAGCCGAGCCAGAAGGGCTCAAGAGGCTCAGAGGGACAGAGGGACAGAGCCTCCCAGACCTGGGCCCAGGGCCGAGCACCCACGAGGGGCAGGGCGGGGCAGCCTCTGGCGCTTTGGTGATGTGCCCTGGCCCTGCCCTGGTGGAGGGGACCCAGAGGCCATGGCTGCAGCCTTGGTGGCCAGGGGTCCCCCTCTGGAGGAACAGGGGGCTCTGAGGAGGTACTTGAGAGTCCAGCAGGTCCGATGGCACCCTGACCGCTTCCTGCAGCGATTCCGAAGCCAGATTGAGACCTGTGAGCTGGGCCGTGTGATGGGAGCCGTGACAGCCCTCTCTCAGGCCCTGAACCGCCATGCAGAAGCCCTCAAGTGACCCTAGGGGATGAGCAAGAACCTGTGAGGCTGTAGCCTCGAGGACAGGCAGGAAGAGGCGCAAGGTCATGGATGGGGATGGACAAGAGGCCGCTACTGCACAGAGAGGATATGGGGCAGGCTCACGTAATGGATGCGGGGGTGGGGGGAGGGAGGCTCTACCACCACCGCTCTTGACTGCCATTTCCTAATAAGACCTGGTTCCACATCTCACTCCAGAGTCTTCTCTGCTTTTTCCATTGCTATGGTTTTCATCACCCATGACATCTCCTTTCCCGCCCAGCTGTTGAAACCCGCAGCTCCCACACACCTGCAGCACATAGTCAGACAGGGAGTGCTGTCAATAGAGACCAGAAGCCCCCCACCCCTGCCCTGGCTTGAGGTCCCTTAGAAGGCCCAGTTTGTCCTTCAAACCCCCTCTGCTCCCTCCCCAGGGACCTGACCACTCCACAGTCTGCAGCTGAAGACAGATGTGAACAAGTAGAGAAAAGGGGAACAAACCACCCCCAACCCCCCTTCGTGCTCCCCAACCAGAACCACATCCTCCTCCCTGCTCGCACCCCTACCCCAACACAGGGCTTTCCCTCTGCTGAGTCACCGAATGAGCTGAGTTGGGGGCAGCCGGGGCTGGGACCATAAGGACCTAGGAGGGTAGAGCATAGAAAGGGGATGGAGGAAGAGCCTATGGGGGAGGGAATTTCAGTTGCTAAAATTAGAAGCGGGAAGGAGGCCGGAAAGAGCCAGATTATGTAACCTGGGTTGTCTGTTCTTGGGCAACTAGAGATCCACACCCGAGCCTATCTGGGCTCCTGGGCAGCTCCTTCCCTGGTTTCTCAGTCTCGTCTCTCTGGGGCTCCAATCCCGGTATCTACTGTTCGATTCCCCAACCCTAAACTTGGGCTTCAGCTCTGGGCAACTCAGGCTTGGCCTTCCACATAAACATCTCCTTCCCAAGAACCCATAGTTAAGGTCCTAGGGGTTAGAGAGAAAGGGTCTGAGACATGGAAGGTGGGACGGGAAATCCATCATACCACTGTTCAAATTCAGCAGCTCTCTGGAAATGGAGAAATTGTAGGCAGATCCCACTACCAACGCCTAAGACACAACTGGGAACTCAGGTTTTTTGGGTTTGGTTTGGTTTGTTTTAAAGTAGAGGCAAGACAGAACAAAGTATTGTGCAGTTAGTTGTGTGTGATCTGAAAGGGGACCATCAGCACTACAGCCCAGGCCTGCTGGAGGGTCCCGGCATTGCGCAGGAAGAAGCTGCTGGAAAGCCGGGTGGTGCTGGCACCGCATGCCTTTAATCCCAGCACTGGGGAGGCAAAGGCAGGAGGATCTCTGTGAGTTCGAGGCCAGCCTGGTCTACAGAGTGAGTTCCAGGATAGGCTCATCTACACAGAGAAACCCTGTCTCGAAAAACCAAAAGAAGGAGAAGAAGAAGAAGCTGCTGGAAACATGCAGTGGGCCTGAGACCCGGGGAGATGTTGGGGAGGTTAGGAAGAGGCCCAAGGCCAGGCAGATGTCGAGCAGCAGGAGGAAGAGCTCTGTGAGAGGAAGCTGCTGTGATTCGGAGAAGAGTCTTGGAACTGTGAGCAGCCCAGGCATCCGGTTCCTCTCACAGGCTGGGGATTTCGGAAGTGGCATGCAAAGAGCCCACATGGAGTCAGAGTCGACCCCTGGAGCTGGGGTCGAGAGGAGCAGCCGGCGTGTGGACTGGAAACACTTGGTTTTCTCCTGTACATGAATTACCTGAAACCAAGATATGCTGATACCCCCTCCCCCTCCCCCTCCCCGCAGACCTCCCTCTCTATCCCCCCCTGGTGTCTGGCCCCCAGCCCTGGTGGGGGTTCCCCTGAGATGAAGGCTGTTCACTTTCTCTGACCACATGGTTTCCGCTTCTGCATCTCTCATTTCCTAGGCTGATAAAAATACTGAGTCCCAGAGGCCCCGGCTTCCTCTGACCCCCTGGTACCAGGCAGCAGGCATCCTGTCCCCCATGGTGGGGGTGGGGAGGGAGCTCAGGGATCCCCAAGGTTGACTCAGTGCCTGCCGTGGGACAGTAGTTGCTGTGGAAATGTGTCCCTTCCATCAAGTTGGTCCCAGGAGTTGGATCTCTGGGGTGGGGTACTTCGGGGCTCAATTTGAGAAAAGAGGTTAGGAAAGAAACTAGAGATGGGATGTCAGCCTGGGGATTGAGGTGGGGGTGGGTTTCAGTTAAATTAGGAAAGGGGCCTGAGCTTCTGTTTGGCACAGTATCATGTAACCAAAGAATTCAAACCCTGCTTCTGGGGACATACCCATACCCCAGTGTGTGAAGGCATGAAGAGCAGCCTTCATAGCAAGGCCCATGGGATGCAGTCAGGAGGCTCCCCAGAGGGTAGGAACAGTGAAAATGCCTGCATGGGCTGAGGCTGAGAAGCTAGAAAACAGTGTGAGCTGGTGTGAGCTGGCGTGAGCTGATATGAGCTGAGCATCTTGAAGTGAAGAAGCACAGGTTTGAGGGCTGTGTGCAAAGAAGGCTGAGGGCAGGGAATCGGGACTGGTGCTGTTTGGTGACCCTGGGGCAGCTGTGAAGTTGAGAGTGGGTGGGTGCTGCAGGGCCAGGCTGAATCTCCTCTGTGTTAGCTCACCCTTTTCCAGTCACTAATCCTGCCGGGGACTCCAGACAGATCTCTCAAGACAGGGCACAGTGGCTGGCGGAGTGCTCTTCCTGAAGGGACTCAGAAGCAGATCTGTGCCATCTCCTGCTCTCCAGTCTCAGCCCTTCCACCTCTCCCAGAGCCTCTCACACGCTGGAACTCTTGTCTCTGGTTACTGAAGCTAGGACTCCTTCAAAGGACCACCCATAAAACTTAACTTCTCTGTCCCTCCAATTTTCCATGTAAATAAATTCTTTGGACCATGTTGTCTGACAGTGGGCCATAAACCCTTCTGCAGAGGTCTTGGGAGGAGGGAGTGTCCCTTAGGTAGGTCCTGACAGTGGATGGGCCTAGCTGAGTGCCCGCCTTTGTATCTGTTAGGTGACAACCTCTGTGCGGTCACATTTCTGCACAGCTGTTCCTTGCGTGTTATCAAATCTCAGCCTAAAAACTGACACCCAGCCGGGCGGTGGTGGCGCACTCCTTTAATCCCAGCACTCGGGAGGCAGAGCCAGGTGGATCTCTGTGAGTTCGAGGCCAGCCTGGGCTACCAAGTGAGTTCCAGGAAAGGCGCAAAGCTACAAAGAGAAACCCTGTCTCGAAAAACCAAAAAAAAAAAAAAAAAAACAAAAAAACAAAAAAAAACAAAACTGACACCCAGGTGGGGCTTTGAGTTTCCATATCTGAAGGTTCCTGCTGCAAAATTACTTTTTTCATATGCTTTTCTCTTGTTAACATGTCTTTGTAACAGCAGGAGCTATGGCCCTTATGAGTTGTAAGGAAAGAAGTCGGTTACCCTTCACCCCTATACTGCCAGCATCTCTCCGGAACGTAGGTGCGGACCCTCCCTTTCTAAAACTGTAACCTGCGTAGCTCAAAGGTAGTGAAATGAAGACTCAACGCCTCTAACTTGTGTGCTTCCTACTTAAGTCCAGTAACTGCAGTGGTACTCAGCTGGGGAGGGGAGAGGGGGGAGGAGATAGTTCAGTCCACAGAGTGCTCGCTCTGCAAATGAGAAGCCCTGAGTTTGATCCTCAGTACCCACATAAAAAGTCAGGCTGGTGGTGCATGCTTGTAGTCCCCACTCTGGGGAGGTGGAGAATCCCAGGAGCTCACTGGCCAGCCAACCTAACATAGTCAAGAAGCCCCAGGTCCCAGTGAGAGACCCTAGCTCAAAAAAAAAAAGACAAAAACAAAGCAAACAAACAAAAAAACCATGGTGGACTGGGCAGAGGAAGGTGTGTTATTGATCACCAAGCCTGAGTTCTGTCCACACAGTGGAAGAAGAGACTGATTCTCACTAAGTGTCCTCTGACCTCCACACGTGCCCTGTGGCACTCATGCATACAACACATAAAAATGTAATTAAACTGTTTTAGCCAGGCGGTACTGGCACATCCAGTACTGTCTTTAATCCCAGCACTCTGAGGCAGAGGCAGGTGGATCTCTGAGTTCTAGGCCAGCCTGGTCTACAGAGCGAATTCCAGGGCAACCAGGGCTATGCAGAGAGACCCCATCTCAGGGGTGGGCATTGAGGGGGATGCTGAATGGCTCCTGAGGAACAACCAAGATTGGCCCCTGGCCTCTGCACACACATGCACGCAGATGTATGTGCACCAGCATACATACATGAACATACATACATCCCTTCATACACACACCTACAAAGACAACAACATATAAAAGGAATATTCTGTAAACTTCAAAAGTACGTGAGGATATGACAAATGGTTGTTGGGGGGAGTAGGGAAGGTCTTAGATTGACTCCAGTTTCAGCCTCCTGAAGGGTCGGATGGGTGGTGGTGACCGAAAGCAAGAAGGCGCATGGCTGAGGAAACAGACAGGAGTTCGGTTTCACAGAGTTCCGTGAACTCAGACAAGGCACCACTACATGATGAGTTAGCCGGAGGCCACTGTCACAGAACTCTGCCCAGTGAGACAAAGACACACAGGTCAAGTCTACAGTGACCGTGGAGGCGCGTCTGCCTAAAGTACTGAAGTGCTCGGGGCAGGCTGGCTAGCAGGGCACTTCCAGCAATGGGGTGTGGAGCTTGAACGCTCGGGCACCATTCCTTCCAGTAGAGGTAACCCTCTGAGTGGAGAGGGGAGTGACCCGGAGAAGCCCTGAGGATGATTAGGGGAGAAGAGCCAACAAAGGAGGGTCTGCGGGCGGGGAACAGCCGGAGAAGCAGGAGCAAGTTTCGATGGGGCAGCCACGGCTCAGGCCTCCAAGAGATCTGTTAGGTGAGAACTGAAAGGATCTTGTAGGTTCACAAACTAGGCAATTACGAATTTTGAGAGAGAGCATTTCATTTTATTAGAAGGGAGAGTTGCTTTTCACGTTGAGGAATGAGTGGGAGGTGAGGCGAGGGGTGGTGGGTACAAAGGATGGTGAAGACAAGACAGGAATCATCTCTACCCACAAATTTTGATGACGGGGGAAAATCTTACTGGTTCCTGTTAGTCAGGGGTCTAGTATTCTGAAAATCACATAGAGAGGGAAGGGGAGGGGGAGAAAGATTCCAGGGAGGGAACTAACACTGAATATATTTGTTAAAGGGAAGATATGTAAGATGAGAGCAACTCTGGGAACATAAGGAAGGGGATGGGAGGAAGGCACATAAAGGAAGGCTCAACCTTGGAAAAGAAAAATTGCTTCCAAGAGGAAACACTAATAACATGGAGGGGGAAAAAGGAAGGGGGGAGGGAGACAGACCATGAAAGGTTGTGGACTTGACTTAAGCTCAATGAGGTAGATAACAGCATGGCCAACTGACAGGGAAGTCACTGGGTCAAGGATGAGAGGGGTCTGCTAAGCAGTCAGCCCAGCCCATCAGCAGCCCCTTGGGATGCCTCTCTCTGTGTTTGACAGCTCAGGAGGAAAACCCAGAAAATTCCTTTTCATTTCCTCAGACTGAGATCTCAAGGTCTTTTTGGTAAAAATATCAGGTGGGTAATAAGGTCCTTTGTGGTAAACAAAACCAACAAGAAGAGCTGGGGGGTGGCTGGGATGGATGGATGGAAGGAAGGAAGGATGGATGAGTGGGTGGGTGGATGGATGGATGGAATGGATGAATGGAATGGATGGATGAATGAATGGATGGAAGGATGGATGGGATGGATGGATGGATGGGATGGATGGGATGGATGTTTGGATGGATGGATCGATGAATGGATGGATAGATGGGTGGATAGATGGATGGATGGATGGAAGGAAGGAAGGAAGGATGGATGGATGGATGGATGGATGGATAGATGGAAAGATGGATGGATGTTTGGATGAATGGAATGGGTGAGTGGATGGGTGGATGGATGGATGGATGGATGGATGGATGGATGGATGGATGGAAAGGTAGATGGGATGGGTGGATGGATGAATGGATGGATAGATGGAAAGATAGATGGATGGATGGATGGATGGATGGATGGATGGATGGATGGATGGAATGGTGATGGGTGGATGGATGGATGGGTGGGTGGGTGGGTGGGTGAATGGATGGATGGGTGGATGGAAAGGTAGATGGATGGATGGATGGGTGGATGGATGGATGGAGTGGGTTGGCTGGGGGATGGCTGGGATGGAGATGGTGCAGTGGGTAAGCACTGGCCACATAAGCATGAGGACTCGGGCTGGGATTGTGTAGGTCTGCAATGCCAGCACTCCTACAGTGAGATAGAAGGTGAGGAGAGAAGAAGAATCCCCAGACACTTGTGGGCCAGTTAGCCTGGTGTGTGCATCCACAAAAACATGAATGTGTCTCAAACAAGGAGGGAGGTAACACCGACCCCTGAGGCTGCCCACCGACCTCCAGACACACATGTGGAAGCACACGGTTTTTTTTTTAATCCAACAAGAAGCCTGATACGGTGGCTTATGCCTGCAATCCTAGTCTTTGAGAGGTGGAGGCAGGAGGATTGGCAATTCAAAGTTAACCTCCGTGACATATGGAGTTCAAGGTCAACCAAGGCCACATGACCCTGTCTCAAGTCCCCACCTCCAAAAAACATTTAACAAGAGAGAAGAGGGTTGGCAAGATGGCTCAGCAGGTAAATGTGCATGCCCAAATTAAATCAAACAGGCTGTGGTGGAGCACACTTTAATACCAGTACTTGGGAGGCAGAGGCAGGCAGATCTCTGAGTTTGAGGCCCAGGACAGCCAAGGCTATTATACAGAGAAACCCTGTCTTGAAAGAAAAAAAAAGGAAAGAAAGAAAGAGGGAGGGAGGGAGGGAGGGAAAGAGAGAGAGAGAAAGAGAGAGAGGGAAAGAGAGAGAGAGACAGAGAGACAGAGAGAGGGAGAGAGGAGAGAGAGAGGCATTTGTTGAGATAAGTCTTACTCTGCAGCCTCATCTGGTCTGAACTCGCTCTGTAGCCAGGCTCCTCTCAAACTCCGAGACCCACCTGCCTCTACCTCCCAAGAGCTGGGACTAAAGGAGCACACCACCACACCAGGCCCTAATGACCTGTATTGATCCTTGGCACCACAAGGTAGAAAACTGAACTGACTCCCAAAAGTTGTCCTCTGACCTCCACACATGTGCTGGAGCATGTGTTCACCTCACATGCACAAAATAAACAAATGTAAAAAAAAATTAAGACAGGGAAGCTAGAGAGTCAAGAGAAGAATTAATTCAGTGGAGAGAAGAGAGTGGGAGAGATGGGTGGTTCTAACTAGGGAGGATTCAGATATCAAACTCCTAGAATTATTTTATTATTAATTTACATGTGAGAAAGAGTGTTTGCACATGTATGTGAGTGCCCACAGAAGCCAAAAGAGAGGTCAGAGCCCTTTAAAGGCAGCTGTGAGCCCCCTGACCTGGGTACCGGGAACTGAGCTCCTCTGGCCTCTGTAGGAGCAACACACTCTCTTGACCCTGAGCCATGTCTCCAGCACCCAGAGTCCAGCTTTGAAAGGCAACCTTGCTTCCAAGCAAAGCTGAGGTTGAAGGTGTGGCCTCTTCCAGGGGTGGCTAAGGACAGAGGCTGACGCTGGCAAAGTCAAGAAAGTTGGAGAACTGAGACCAGAGCCTAGGGTATGTGGGCTCTGTGTGGTCTTGAAGATGATGCCAGGGATGAAGATGAAGAGAAACTGAAGTAGATGGACAGGTTGTTAGGAGCACAGTGCAGATGTTGATGGGGTTGTTAGGAGCATGGTACAGATGTTGATGGAGACACAGCTGTGAAGACAGGACGAGTGTGGTCAATGCAGTCAGGAGCCTCTGAGAAAGAAAAGCATGTGGGCAACATGACCTCTCTCCTCTGCA